GCAGGGACTCTGACTTATCGCACCCTCTCCAGCCATGCTGTGATCTTCACTCACTTTAAGTCTTGCCTGTTCCAGTCACACCTCCCCACAGCCACCCCGTCCCCTCTCCCCTTTCTGTTTTAGGGTAAGGAAGGAGGCTTCATTGTCCGAGACTCCACCAGCAAGACAGGGAAATACACTGTCTCCGTCTATGCCAAGTCCTCTGTGTAAGTGGATCTAAGAACAGCTTGTTCCTACCTCAGAGGGCCCCCCCTAGGCACCCGTCACCCTCTGCCTGTCCTCCCCATGCCGCTGACCCCGCGTACTGTCTCTCCAGAGACCCCCAAGGCACAATCCGCCATTACGTTGTATGCTGCACCCCCCAGAATCAGTATTACCTGGCAGAAAAGCACCTGTTCAACACCATCCCGGAGCTCATCACCTACCACCAGCACAACTCTGCCGGTCAGTGTTTGGGGGACAGAGTGAGGCCAGCAGTGTTTTTACTGACATGACAGTATCCTCACCTTCCTGCGCTGAAGGCAGGAAGCTTGTGTTTCCTGCTGGAACGTGGCGGGTAAGTGTGGTGTGGCAATCTACCTTTTTGTGTTTCAGGCCTCATATCCAGACTGAAGTACCCCGTGTCTCAACACCAGAAAAGTGCTCCTTCCACAGCTGGCCTGGGCTATGGTAAGCTGGCCTGGGCTACCTCACGGTTCCCTGGTTGCAGGGGCGCATCTCTACCAGGAGTAACTTTCCAGGGCTGGGATCCTGGCTGTCCCATGGCAGCAGGGCTCACAGCCTTCCCAGGAAAAACTTCCCAACACTCACTGGCTCTCTGGTGACAGTACTGACCAAGAGACACCACAAGCTACTTTGTTCCCCATCCCCTGGAGGAACAAGTCTCAGATCTCGTGGATTTTTTGGGATGGTTTCTCAGGCAGCACGTGCTTGTGAGCTCTTCTTGGGCTTGCTAGATCAGATAACTGGGAGCACCCTGAAGGGAGGTCACCTGCACCCACATTACACTTGCAATCTCTGTCCTAGGGTCGTGGGAGATTGACCCGAAGGATCTGACTTTCCTGAAGGAACTGGGGACGGGGCAGTTTGGTGTGGTGAAGTACGGGAAATGGAGAGGCCAGTACAACGTTGCTATCAAGATGATCAGGGAGGGCTCCATGTCAGAGGATGAGTTTATCGACGAAGCCAAAGTCATGATGTAAGTGGTGAGCGGCCTGCAGGTCAGTGCTGGATATGCCTTGCCAGAATGGCTGCGCTCCTGTGTGGTGTGGAGGGACAGTCTCAGGCAGCCTCATGCTGCAAAATGCATCGAGAACCGATCGGCCTTTGTGCTGATTCCCCGGTGAGCTTTTCCACCATTGGCTGGACCAGGAGTGCCTTCCCTTCTCAAATTCTCTTTATTCACAGGTGCTTCTTTTGCTGCTTGGCCTTCTAGATGCTCAGAATTGCCCTTCTTGCCCCCAACACAGGAACCTGTCCCATGAGAAGCTAGTGCAGCTCTACGGGGTCTGCACCAAGCAGCGTCCCATCTTCATCATCACCGAGTACATGGCCAACGGCTGCCTCCTGAACTTCCTGAGGGAAACTCGGCGGCGGTTCCAGCCTGCCGAGCTGCTGGAGATGTGCAAGGACGTCTGTGAAGCTATGGAGTACCTGGAATCCAAACAGTTCCTGCACCGAGACCTGGTAGGGCTGTGACTGAAGGACACATCTCCAGCTCAGCGACAGCCACAGCATGTCCTAGACAGGGTCCAGCTACTTCATCAACATGAGGAGAGGCAGCTGTACAGCCTTCTCTGCAGAACATCCCTCTAAGCTTCCCTGCCCACCTGAGCATGGGTGGGATGCTCTGAAATCACTGCTCTGCAGGGAGTTAGCAGAGATTGCAGGAAAGGCAGGACTAGGTAGTTCTCCAGGGGATGCGAGATGCATTTGTGGCTAGGGCAGGGCTTGTGTGAGGCAGCACAGGCAGCATCACTGGCTCAGACATGAAAAGGGATGTCTCGACCACCATCAAAAGCTGAGCCTGCAGTTTGTCAGGCCTTGGGCTGGCGTTGCCAGCTTGCAGTCCTGCTAGGTGCCATACCTAATCTCCTCCTGGTGCTGCTTTGTTCAGGCAAAATCCTGTCAGGGAAGTCGCCCCCTGTAGATAAACAAGATGCCTAGAGGCCCCTCTTGCTATCTTTGCTGAGGACTTTGTAGCTTGCCCCAATCCAGGTGAACCTGCAGGACAAAGTGAGGCAAAGTATTAAGTGGGTGGGGGTGAGATGAAGTTCCAGATGGTTCAGGGGGATGGGAGAGGCAGGAGCAGGTAGGAGTGACTGCCTCCATCTCTCCATCCACAGGCTGCTCGCAACTGTTTGGTGAACGACCAAGGAATTGTGAAAGTGTCAGATTTTGGCCTTTCCAGGTCTGGTAGATATGTCTGTGTCACCTTCGTGTCTCATCTCCTTCTGCAGTCTCTTCTGCACTTTAATCTTTCTCCTCACCATCCTGCAGCTCTGCTTTTCCTCCATCTTCTCCTATCTTTCCATTTCATCTATCTGGCTCAACTTTCTACCTCTCCACTTTCCACCATCCCTTTCTTACTTCTCTCATCCCTTTTCCCCCTCTCTTTGCTTCTTCCTTCCCCCACCTCTAGTCTTCTGGCTGCAGCTTTCTCTCCACATCCCCTTTTTGCTATGCTTCTGTGTCACCCTGTCCCTTTCCCAAACTTGACTAACATACACTTGTTTGCAAAGGGACATTTCTGCCTGTTGAAACCCATGCAGAGTGCAACCCACTCTGAGAGCTGTCGGTTCCTTTTGGGCTTGGTCGGTTGCATGGAGGAGTGAAATGTGAAATCCAAGATGGGCACCCTGATCCATTTATCTGCTGCAGGTACGTTCTAGATGATGAGTATACAAGCTCCATGGGGTCAAAATTTCCAGTGCGGTGGTCTCCCCCTGAAGTGCTTCTGTACAGCAAGTTCAGCAGCAAGTCTGACGTCTGGGCTTTTGGTAAGAGCATAGCATTAATGACTCAGAGGTTGGGAAGGGTGGGTGCCCCAACAACAGCGAGCTCCTCTGAAAACCAGCTTCAGGCACAGGCGCCGCCGCGCCATGAACTGTCCCTGCCGATTCCTGTAACAGGCGTTCTGATGTGGGAAGTCTACTCCCTGGGAAAGATGCCTTATGAGAGGTTTAATAACAGCGAGACAACAGAGCATGTCATCCAAGGCCTGCGCCTCTACCGGCCGCAGCAGGCCTCGGAGCGGGTGTACGCCATCATGTACAGCTGCTGGCACGAGGTAAGTTGCTCTCCCCCTCGGCGATCACCCCCAGCTGCCCTGGGGAGGCTGACGCAGCTCTGCGGCTCCCCTGGGGTGCGGGAGCAGTGGGGCAGCCAGCCGGCTCCAGCATGCTCCCCGCTCTTGCATGGCAGAAGGCCGATGAGCGCCCCACCTTCACCGCGCTGCTGGGCAGCATCCTGGACATCACAGACGAGGAGCCCTGACCCAGGCCTGGGCCGGCCCGCACCGCCGACCCCGGCTACTGCTGG